ATTTACAAAAGCTGATTAATACTATTAGGAAATCTGGGACCACTTGGAATATTTATTGGTTCTTTTAACCTTCAATTTAATATTTCTGTTTGCCTGGGTATCTGGTATAATTCAGCATAAAATTTAAAAGATAAATAAACAAGTGGAATGAATCCATAAGAATTAAAAGAACTATAAAAAAAGTTGCACTAAAATTGAATATGGTATTCTGCATTTTAGCACTATGTTTGTATTTCTTGGTTGACAAGTACAAGACAAGGTTTATTTATAAAGAATCCTGCTAATTTATTGCATTTTTTAAGCAAGATAACTGGATATTAAGAGCTTTTTGAAGCTCCTTTCTTTTGTCACTTGTGCATAACTAGGATCTTAATCTAGTACCACAAAGTTATGGTTGTCAATAAAATATAACTAGTTTCATTTAAGATACCAAATATATGCATTAATATCATAATTTATGTATTGTATGATATCAGTGATAGGAGACTCTAAATTAACTATTAAAATATATCCCATCTTGTAAGCAGAGTTTTCATGATGTTCTTACGTAGTTCATGATTGTGTAAAATGCTAATAGGGATTTGGGTCAAATGAAGTGTGAGAAATGCTACATTATGTATCTGGTCTGGGACCATCACAGTAACTTTCAGCACATTAAAGGCTCTGCATAGTCCTGCAGGAAAGATAGTTGTATACCCTAGCTTTCTTTCACACATACATACACTGCATAGAAGCTTTGGGAAAAAATCTCACATGAATATTAAATAAATTTAATTTTAAGAAAACTACCTATAATGTATTTTATTTTCTTTGTGCAGTCTCTTGAGAAGATGTAGTTATTTATATTCCATAAATAATTCAAATTAATGTATGTATTTGAATATGAGTAAAAGTGAAAAGTTGACATGTTTGTTGTTTTCAATTGTTTTTTCATTTGAACATAGATATCTCTTCTGATGGCCTAAATCAAATTGTTGGGCCCAATATAGCTGTTCTGTCTGGCCTTTTTGGTTAATAGGCATATGGTTAAATACAGGTTTCAAAAGACTTCATATTCAGCAAAGTCCTTTTTACAAAGTAAGTAAATATAAAGCAAAATGGGAAACTAAGCAGCATACCACAGGTGTTGATAAACATGGAATTAAAGTATATTTAATTCTTCAATTAACCATGTTAATCAAAAATTGTCTAGAATTTTTCTAGAAATAATCTGAAACATAACAATATTCATACATTCATGTTGAATTGATGTAGTTAACATACCAAATTATTTTAGGGCATTGATTTTTTTTTTTTTTTTATTTCAGGAAAATATTCCGTGAGTATGTCAGTCCGAGGGAAACAGGATTTAGAAATTCAAGGTCCTCGACTGAACAACACAAAGGAAGAGAAAACGTCTATTAAATATGGTCCCGATCGACGTTTAGATCCCATAATCACTGAAGAAATGCCACTGTTGGAGGTATTTCACTCCTTAAAATTTCATGGACTTAAATTTATCTACATGGCCACATGATATTTTGAGTGAATTAATTTTAGACTTTCAGTTGTGCTACTACATTGAATTATACTTCTAAATTATTATTAAGCTAGTGTTAAATAGATGTAATTTACAAAAGTAAGACAATCATGAAAATTAGCATTAAGTCACAGCCAGGTTATGAAATATTAATGGAAATTGGGAAAATACTTCTGAAGAACACTTTGATTATTATTAAAATCAATGGCTCTTTTTTGTAATTTATAAAAATATGTGAATGAATGCTTGCAAAAATTTAAGCCATATAGAAGTATATGAATAAAAAGCAATAGTCCCTTCGCCCTCTTATCCTACCCTATTCTAGTCTCATACCATATGAGTTAAAGGTCTTTTAGTTGCCAAAGATAGAAACTGATACCACGTAGCATAACCAGAGAAAGAGAAAATGTATTATTTAGTTGAAGGACAATGGAATATCTCATGGAAACTCAAGTATTATAGAACAAGAAGTTTCAAAGAAGAGGAAGCTCCAGGCAATTTAGGAGAAAATGTTTTTAAACCTCTAGAACGCATTGCTTTTGAAATGACCCTAGTCCAACAACTGTTATTTGTGCCACTTCAAATTTCAAGTTTCTAGAAGAGAAATCTCTCTCACCTTGAATCAAGTTTCTACCTCAGAGACAGGACAAAGACAGGGTGACATTGCATAAGGTTGAACACTGGAAGGAGGCCCTTCCTCCTGCATCCTCAAGTTTTCCTAGTAGGGGAGTTACAACCATAGCAACCTACATCCAAAAGGTGACAGTGGTATCAAATTAGTGTTTATCTTTTAAGACCTTTCATTGTGCACTTGTGTATAGTTTTAATAAGTATAAATGGAATCATACTACACATATTTTATCCTGTGACCTCTTTTTTGTCTCTAACAATGTAAATGAATCTTTATTTTCATTCAGTAAGAATTCTTTTTTAACAGTTACATATCCTTTATTTGGAGATACTGTTGTGTGTTTTCATGCTGCATCTATTAATGGATGTGGTTCTAGTTTTTTGTCATTACAGACAACTCTGCTGTAAACATCATTATGTACATATTTTGTCTGTGTTCTAGATTAGGCTAAACGTCTAAAATGGAATTACTGGGTGAAAGGGTATATAAATTTTAAGTGTTTCAGTATACTACAAAATTATAATACCTTCAGCAAGGCTGTAATAATTTGTACTTTTCTTCAGAGTGAGAGTGCCTCACATCTTGGTCATACTGGTTTTTAACTTTTTTCAGATTCGTGAAAAATGACCTTGTTTTTATTTACATTTCTCTGTTAACTGATAAGGTTGCTCAATCTTCCGTGTTTTCTGCCCATGTTTTTTTCCTGTATGTCCATATGATTGCCTGTTCATATCCTTTTAATTGGGTGTTATTTCCCCTTTTCTCATTGTGTGGTTTTTATGGGTAGTAACCCTATACCTTTAATGGCAGAGTAGGTAGCATACTCGTGAAAATCATGATGGGTGGTGTGTGTTGAGGAGACAGTATTGCTGAGCTGCATGTATTCTGCCCAGGTCTGACACTTGCTTAATTATATTGCATTTATAAAGAGTTCTGTAGGTCAAATAGGAAAGTTATGGACTGACCTGACTGCCAATTTCTGGTTGATAAATAATTTATATATATTTTAACTTTGATTTGATATCTTTTACCATGTTGAGGTTTTTAACTTGTATGAAGTCATTTCTGATAGCTTTTACTTCATTGCATCTAAGTTTTATATTTCCTCATCGAGGCATTCTTAGTCAAAACTTGCACAGCTTTAAAAATTTATTTATTTAGTTAGTTAGTTATTTAGTTAGTTAGTTAGTTATTTTTTTGAGCCAGAGTCTTGCTGTGTTGCCCAGGCTAGAGTGCCGTGGCGTCAGCCTAGCTCGCAGCAACCTCACACTCCTGGGCTCAGGCGATCCTCCTGCCTCAGCCTGTGGAGGAGCTAAGGACTACAGGAACGTGCCACCATGCCCAGCTAAGTTTTTCTGTTTTTAGTAGAGACAGGGTCTCACCCTCGCTCAGGTTGGTCTCGAGCTCCTGAGCTCAAGCTATCCTCTCGCCTTGGCCTCCTAGATTGCTAGGATTACAGGGATGAGTCACCGC